TGTTACACCTACCTGTAGTAACTAGAGTTCTAACACTGGAGTGTTACACCTACCTGTAGTAACTAGAGTTCTAACACTGGAGTGTTACACCTACCTGTAGTAACTAGAGTTCTAACACTGGAGTGTTACACCTACCTGTAGTAACTAGAGTTCTAACACTGCAGTGTTACACCTACCTGTAGTAAACAGAATGACACTGAAATGCATTGATATTGTGCTTAGTTTATCAACATTAATATATATAACTATGGTAAACCTCCGGTCAGTTCAAATAGGCAGATATAGTTCGAACACACTTTTTGAACAATAAAAATAATAATTTTCTATCTAGTGATAGTTCAAACCCTGCTTACACACGTTTCGGATTGTTCAAACACACAACTTCAGTACTGAACTTACATAATTATTGATCGAGGTTGGCTATCGGCGATGCAATAATAGCCTCGCGAAACTTGATATATTTGTGCATCGACAGCGTTTAACAACTGAATAATGGATAGTACTCATGTGTGACCATTGTTGTCATCAATGTCGGACTTTTTGTACATAAATAATTCACATATCACCGGTAATTGAGTTTCTTTCTTGTAAACAAGAGCACGCGCCAGTCAAACATCTTTAGGCCCCGACCATGAATAATATCCTAACAGTACACGGAGCGTGGAATGTTACCGTCACATCACTGACAGACGTGTGTATTGTCATGATATTTCTGTGATTATAATTTGATTATATAATATTTATTTTAGCGGCTATAATTTCGTGTAATTCGAACAGGATTGACAATATTTATTTCATTTTGTTCGAACTGACCAAAGGTTTACCATAACTGGCAATCACAGATAAAAAAAATGTTTTAACTTAAATAGAAAGACAAATATGTCGAAGCCTTGTATACATATGATTGTATAACATACACACCCAACTCAGAACAGTTGCTATATGTTCAGCAAATCTACAATTGCACCAAAGCTTTCACTGAACACAGAAAAAGATAGCTCTTAGCGAACATATAGCACAGACTCCCTCGCAGCTTCCCCATCCCGTTACTTTCTCCACCCATGAGTGACTTTTATGATTTACTTGACAATCTCCTCCCTCCCAGCTTCCCCATCCCCTTACTTTCTCCACCCATGAGAGACTTTTATGATTTAATTGACATAGTATACTAGCAATGTACATCAAATTCCAAGGGCTGAAAATTTAGATGTAGTATAAATGAAATTTGTGTCTTTACCAATGAAACTTGTTTCCTGGTTGTGTTGGCCACACCAACCGATTATGATGAGAAACCTTACAGCTTACCCCTAACAGTAAACCTATCCTAGGATAGTATTTTTACTAGCATTAATTCTAACATTTTTACATACCGTAGTGAAATGATGTTAGTTGAGGATTTTTATTATATGACAGTTTTTTTCAAATATTTCTGTAGAAGAAAGTTTACTCAATAACTTAGATATACTTTGAACATAGGATACAGTTACCACATAAACCCACTCAGGGTAACCTGTCTTAAACCTCTGAACAGGGTCCAAAAATATTTGTTTATAAATTGCTGATCTTGCAGCAGCTTTTGGTGCAAGTTATGATGGTCTCCAGTTTAATGTTTATGGTGGGATGTGAAATGATGAGTAAGATAAAAAGCTTTTGGGGGAGATATCTTTGAATATTTACCATCAAATGGCATTGCCTCTATACAACCCTACCACATTCAGGTGGCATTCATGAAGGCTATGAATGCCATGAGCTGATTGTTGATGTCACAGTTATTATAAAGTCATAATTGTTACACTGGATAACACAAACCCTCCATAGACAAGTGGGTGTTCTAGTTATTGAACAAGCGTATACAATAAATACATTTCTAGAACTAAATGCTGAACAATAATAAGTGTAACTGAATTTTCTATGAGATAAACAGACTCCAAAAATGGTAAATATAAGTATTGAACTGCTTTCTGTTGGCATTCATAGGCAATATGAATTTGTATTTCCAATTTAGTTGGCATTCATATTGCCTATAAATTCCAACTGAAAGCAGTTCAATACTTCAATAATTGGTATCTGGTATAGAGAAAATATTCTTGGTTTATTGAATCCCAGAACAGAGGATGAGGCACTTGTTTCTTATATAATTCTCCCAAAAATGCATACTCACTAATACTTGTATGAGGATACTCATATATAATCGTAAACTGAAGCAACTGTAATGACAAAAACAGACATAAAACATTGTATCACATATTCCATGTACGTACGGTACATGACTTAGAAGGACGCATGGACAGCACACAGTAACCCTGGAGGGTTCATACTTGAGATCAGCAATCAGTTGTTTAAACCTGATCAGCCTTGCGCCACACTTACACAAAATGGTGAAACAGTTATATTGTAACAACTGTACAGTATACATCACTCGTCAAACAGGGTTGCTATGCTTGGTGTGATTCCAATCACGATCCTATACAACAATTTGCTAATTAAAACATCAGATTGGAAAATGCCACAATTATACGCTCATATAAAAATGTTGAACTCCAAATAAGTTGATATCCAAATATTAGCTAGTCACTTGGAAACATTTAACATCGCAAGGAAACTGGTCACATGGAAATGTTAAACAGGCCAACATCAATATGGAAACTGGTCACACAGAAAGTTGACGCTAATATGGTAAGTTTTACATATGCTCCACTTGAAAGACTTGTTAAGTTTGGCTCATTTATTCTGTTTGCCCTGACCAGGTCTCCTCTTCAAGTTAGTGGAACTCTGTTAACAAAGAATAACTTCCTTATTATATTGCAATTTATAATCCGATGATAAATATATGGTACTTGTTATATCAGCAATCATATTTTAACACCTCAAGTCGTATTTCTGGTGTGTACTTATTGTATAGTGGTACATGTACCAGTAGAGACTCCTGTTCAGTACATTAGGCTTATTGAATTGGTGTGCTTATTCTGATTGTACGGACAGAATATTGAGTGCTTAAAAAAAGGGTGCTTTATACAAGTACCCATAGCTAGTTGTCTAATGTTACCACACGCAGTATAGTCGGGAAAATCTTTTTGGTCAAACAGTATGGATGGACAATACAAGTTTGGTGACACAGAATGATCGGGTCATTACAATCTAGCTTGGTCATTAGTCCAGTCTGGTCACACATTATGGTCAGGACACAACAATCAAGTTTGGTCACAAAGTATGGTCTGGACAATAAATCTAGTCTGGTCATACAGTATAGTTGGGACAATATAATACAGTTGGGTCACACAGAATGGTCTGGACAATACAATCCAGTTTGGTCACACAGTATGGTCAGGACAATACAATCCAGTTTGGTCACACAGTAAGGTCTGGACAATACAATCCAGTTTTGTCTCACAGTATGTTGGGACAATACAATCCAGTTTGGTCACACAAAATGGTCTGGCCAATACAATCCAGTTGGATCACAAAGTATGGTCTGAAAATACAATCCAGTTGGATCACACAGTATGGTCAGGGCAATACAATCTTGTTTGGTCACACAGTATGGTCAGGACAATACAATCCAGTTTGGTCACACAGTAAGGTCTGGACAATACAATCCAGTTTTGTCTCACAGTATGTAGGGACCATTCAATCCAGTTTGGTCACACAGTATGGTCGGGACAATACAATCCAGTTTGGTCACACAGTATGGTCTGAACAATACAATCCAGTTTTGTCTCACAGTATGTTGGGACAATACTATCCAGTTTGGTCACACAGTATGGTCTGGACAATACAATCCAGTTTTGTCTCACAGTATGTAGGGACAATACAATCCAGTTTGGTCACACAGTATGGTCAGGGCAATACAATCTTGTTTGGTCACACAGTATGGTCAGGACAATACAATCCAGTTTGGTCACACAGTATGGTCTGGACAATACAATCCAGTTTTGTCTCACAGTATGTAGGGACAATTCAATCCAGTTTGGTCACACAGTATGGTCGGGACAATACAATCCAGTTTGGTCACACAGTATGGTCTGGACAATACAATCCAGTTTTGTCTCACAGTATGTAGGGACAATACAATCCAGTTTGGTCACACAGTATGGTCAGGGCAATACAATCTTGTTTGGTCACACAGTATGGTCAGGACAATACAATCCAGTTTGGTCACACAGTATGGTCTGGACAATACAATCCAGTTTTGTCTCACAGTATGTAGGGACAATTCAATCCAGTTTGGTCACACAGTATGGTCTGGACAATACAATCCAGTTTGGTCACACAGTATGGTCTGGACAATACAATCCAGTTTTGTCTCACAGTATGTTGGGACAAAACAATCCAGTTTGGTCAAAAAGTATGTAGGGACAATACAATCCAGTTTGGTCACACAGTATGGTCAGGACAATACAATCCAGTTTGGATCACACAGTAAGGTCTGAACAATACAATCCAGTTTTGTCTCACAGTATGGTCAGGATGATACAATCTTGTTTAGTCACATAGTATGGGTGCGACAATACAAGTATGGTCACACAGTGTAGTCGGGACAATACAATCCAGTTTGGTCACAAAGTAAGGTCAGGACAATACAATCTAGTCTGGTGATACAGTATAGTTGGGATAATACAATCCAGTTTGGTCACACAGTATGGTTAGAAAAATACAACCAAGTTTGGTCACAAGGTATGGTCGGGACAATACAATCCAGTTTGGTCACAAAGTATGGTCAGGACAATACAATCTAGTCTGGTGATACAGTATAGTTGGGATAATACAATCCAGTTTGGTCACACAGTATGGTTAGAAAAATACAACCAAGTTTGGTCGGGACAATACAATCCAGTTTGGTCACAAAGTATGGTCAGGACAATACAATCTAGTCTGGTCATACAGTATAGTTGGGATAATACAATCCAGTTTGGTCACACAGTATGGTTAGAAAAATACAACCAAGTTTGGTCACAAGGTATGGTTGGGACAATACAATCCAGTTTGGTCACAAAGTATGTCAGGACAATACAATCTAGTCTGGTCATACAGTATGGTTGGGACAATACACTCCAGTTGGGTCACACAAAATGGTCTTGCCAATACAATCCAGTTGGATCACAAAGTTTGGTCTGGAAAATACAATCCAGTTGGATCACACAGTATGGTCAGGGCGATACAATCTTGTTTGGTCACACAGTATGGTCGGGACAATACAATCCAGTTTGGTCACACAGTATGGTCGGGACAATACAATCCAGTTTGGTCACACAGTATGTTGGGACAAAACCATCCAGTTTGGTCACAAAGTATGTAGGGACAACACAATCCAGTTTGGTCACACAGTATGGTCAGGACGATACAACCTCGTTTGGTCACACAGTATGGTCGGGACAATACAAGTATGGTCACACAGTGTAGTCAGGTCTTTACAATCCAGTTTGGTCAAAGTGTCTGAATGCTGGTCATAAAAACAAGGTACTAACAAAATATTTGGCAATCGCACTAACAGATACTTTGACAGATACCCTAGAAAAAAGTGATTTAGTGAATAATAGAACATAAGTCTGTAAATAGTAGGACACTAGACCTTGATTTCACTACACACCACTTCGACCTCCAATGACATACTGACATGCAAAATTTGGCAATTGTAAGTGACAGAGAATTTGAGATATGTCCCACACAAAGAGACGCAGGGAGATGGATCGGTGGAGAGAGTGCAAACCTACAGTCCCCTCAAGTATTACCTGTAGTAATAAACACTGTGTATTTTCCCTACCTTCTTTGATTCTGCTGCAGGCTGAGAAAGAATCATAGAGGGAGAACGCACAATTTCCTCTATGACCTCGTCATCAAGGGACTCCTCATCTCCATCCTCTACCAACTCATCCTCATAACTGTTAGTATCTAAAACACAATTTTCACCTTTCATTTTTACTTCTTTCTCTATTCATATTTTTACATATATGTTGTTGTAGTGAAATTTTCTTAATATGATATCTGTTCATTCCAAATCTATCAAACTTCTGGAAAGTGGAATCAGGCAAAACTTTTGAAAAGAGATTTTAGACACTTGTCAAACTTTTTATTTTTGATATAGGGAAAAATAACACAGCAGAAACTGAAAATGGATAAACAGTTTTCAATGGCCCATGTTTGACAAAATATTAGTGTAAAATACAAGTTTAGCTGTCAAGATTTTAATACATGCACAGTGAAACTATGTATGTTCTTCTTACTTTAGTGTGAAGGTAATATTGCTGATTTGAATGAGAGTGAAAATTGGTTGGGTCCTTCTTAAATAGGGGGTTTGGCAATATGTCTGAATCCCTAAAGTTAGTTGTGATAAGGGTTTATCGTATGTACAGAGTGATAATTCTTTAACCCAACCAGGACCTTATCTATATTTGGTTTCTCTCAAACTTTGTTTAAAACCGTTGAAATGTTAGAATGTTCACAGGTAACTATTCAAGTTATCCTTGCATAGAAAATACTAACAACGTACTTAACAAATGTAAATACACGGCTATACAAAATATGAAAAAGTTATGATGACATCATGAGTACTGTTTTACATTCTTTGTCATTCCGATTGTCATAGACATTAAATCAACCAATGATAAAAGCTTTACATAGCTTTGTGTTATGTCATCCTCACCATCACTGTCGTCGTCTTCGTATTCATCGTCTGGTGCATCGAAGTCTGCCAACAGATGGTGCTGTGGCTCGTCAATCTTAGACACAAGCTCGGCCAAGTCTGTGAATTTGGCCATCACTGGAATGTTCGCCTACAACATTTCACCACAACAGTCAATGTCAAATGAGATTTAAACTTGACATCCCCAGAAAGTCCTCCAGTTAACCATTTGAATCATGACAAATCTAAAAGGTTCACAATCAAAGTTCAACAAATCAAAAATCTAAATTTGGGTTGTACAAAGATTAATTAAATAACTGTCTCACTTTTTACCCTCGTAACCCTGGTACCCTGATGGACGCGAGTTGCTATAAAGTTTAGTCATAACTTTCAATTTGAAATGTATAACTTAATAATAATTGGTAATAATAGTAATATTTGGGCTTAACCTCAGGTCTCAGCATTGATGTGCTGCCAAAAGACTTGTCCTTGGATTTCTCCTCAAACAGCTGCTTCACAAGTCCTCCCTTGACCCAGCCAGAAAATAGAGTCCGCCCATGGTGGTACCCTACCTCCTGTTAAAACATAAACCCAGAGTTAATCATCACAGCCAGAGAATAAAGTCCGCCCCTGGTGGTACCCTACCTCCTGTTAAAACATAAACCCAGAGTTAATCATCATAGCAGAGAAAAGAGTCCGCCCATGGTGGTACCCTACCTCCTGTTAAAACATAAGCCCAGAGTTACAGCAGAGAATAGAGTCCACCTATGGTGGTACCCTACCTCCTGTTAAAACATAAACCCAGAGTTAATCATCACAGCAGAGAATAGAGTCCGCCCATGGTGGTACCCTACCTCCTGTTAAAACATAAACCCAAAGTTAATCATCACAGCAGAGAATAGAGTCTGCCCATGATGGTACCCTGCCTCCTGTTAAAACATAAACCCAGAGTTACAGCAGAGAATAGAGTCCACCTATGGTGGTACCCTACCTCCTGTTAAAACATAAACCGAGACTTAATCATCACATTTCACTGTGCAAGATCTTCTGTAAAATCAGTATCATCTGTGACTATAAATTCAATTACATTAATTATTTTTGATATTTAACAGGGATTCTGGTAAAGATTTCAAATAATATAAACACCTTTTTGTTTTGTTTAAAAGACCCGAGTTACATCACTAAATTTACTCACACTGATTTCATCGCAGCTGCCAAACTGGAGGGTGGCAAACTTGTCTATAGGTGGCCGAATGTATTCACAGTAGTCACTGGTCTTCATCATCTCCAGCTGCCGTACCCCTGATACATACGCCAGGCGGGACTGTATCTCATTCATGTCTGGTACCTACCAATCACATCATTACAGTGTTTACATTCAACATTATCACCTATTAAACATACCATCATATCAAGGCAACAAGGGTTCACATTCAAAACAGCACTTGGTACAAATTATGTTCATATTTTAATAAAAAAAATACTTAGATCCACCTAGTATTGCAATTTTTTGCAAATACATCCATTATAGATGTTATTGTTTTTTTAACAAGGGACAGTCATTTTTTAAATAAATGTCAATGGTGCAACTCCTCCTCATATCTAACAGAACCTTCTGTAATGATATCAAGAACATCAGCCAGAGTTATATGGTCAGAACTAGTCGGTGCCTGAACTTAACAGAAAATCAAAGTACTGAAAGTACTGAAAGCTAAGGCAAAAGATATATATATATTATTTTTGGAATGGAGAACAAAATAAAGACGAAGTTCCCATCATATTGTACAGAAGGATTTACTGTTAATTTGTTATGAATCAAAGTTTTATGTAAAAGTGTACCACTGTGAAGTTATTCTTCTTGTGTGTACAATACATCTTTATAGGTTTGTCAGAAGAGTGGTACCAAGTTTCCTCTAGAATATATCATTTTAAACCTTTGGATAATTAATTTGCATAGGAATTTGGAATTGCTTCCCTTTGTCCATACAATGTATTTCATAGAACATTAAAAACTGAAACTGGCATTTACCCCTTTGACCAATACCTGATTATTTTAAACCATTGAATAGATTATGCACAGATTGTGAACATCTTTGAACTTTGCCTTTGTTGTTGAATAAGATATCAACCCTTGCCTTATCTAACAAAGTTACTTGGCATAAAACCATTGACCAATCAGAGTACAGTATGCTAATTAATTAGGCATGGATTTCACTCAACTTTGAACTTATCGTCTAAGTTTGTATATTGATCAATATATATTCAAGCAAGTTATCTTGTAAAGTGTGCACATCGACCAGGGTTGGCATGCTTTTTAATACGTGTGAATTTTGTTCAAGTTTCAATTTTGCATCAGTCAGTGTATATTGTTACAGAACAATATTTATAAGGATGTTTACTTGCCGAAACTAAATTGTGGATAAGCAAGTGGATTACTGCTACCCATAAATTTACAAGTCTCTCAATAATTTTGAAAAACTTTTAAATAAAGTGTTTTACATATTCACTGCAGTGAAAAGGTCTCTTCTTATGAAAAATGGAACTATTTTGAATCTGTGTTCCCATGAACAAATAATATAAAAAGCACTCTAATTCAATATGATACATTGTTGTATGTTTCAATATTGAATAAGATAAACAAAATATAAACATACATACTCACACACACACACAAGATTAGGAGAGTTACATTATTTTCCCTCTATTTCCATTGCATAAATTCTTCACAAAGAAAACAACAACTTTATAGCATATGTTCAGCTTTATCATCTTCATAGGCTAGCATTTGAAATAAGATGCACATATTAATTTCAAATACATTTCAAAAGAGTACTGCAAATGTACCAGCTAGAACACATACTATGTTATTACAGTTGTCATGATTGTTGGTTTCAGAACTGATAGCATTGTGCAACAAATGTTGACAACAGGACTTATTGAAAGTTGAGGTTGCTTGTGTATATGCAAACAGGTAGTGCATGATTTAATGTTGAGAATGATGGATCAAGGTTTATAAAATTTGGTTTGAATACTTAGTTAGGAATGCACTGACAATTTCTCTGTCACATGTACATGAACAGGTTGTGAAGCTGTAGCCTTCACCTTGACTGAATGAAATTGACCTTAAAACTGTCTTGAACAATTGATGTATGAAATTTAGAAATGAAGTTTCAAGAAATATGGTTGAAAACTTAAGAAATAATTGCTTTCATTGACATTGATACAATCTTGTGTGCTATCCCTCTCATATATCACACAAGATTTAATATCAAATGTTGGACACAGTAAAATCGAGCGAAGTTAACAAATATCAAGTTACATATTATAACTTTTATTTTATTTTATTGATATTGATCATAAGCATTGTTAAAAGTACAATGTATACCAGGGATCTTACATTTCTTTTACTACTTAACATTTGCGTTGACTTTTAATTCATTGGACAAAAACTAAAAGGAAGCCATGACCAGTATTTCTATCTTTAAAAACATACTTTTAATTTTTTTTCCAATTTGCTCCCACCACCCATAGTGTTATATTGATCAAAACAAACGTTGTTTCCAACATTTGTGCCCTTAGTCAGTAGTGGGTGTTCAATCACATTCATCAGGGTTTCAGCATCAAGTAGGGGCTGTTCAATCACATTCATCAGGCTTTCAGCATCAATATTCACAGATTCAATCTGTTCCAAGTAAAGATCACTGACTTCTCCATTAAGGAAAAGTTTGCGAGGAAAGCATTTGAACTACATTTGAACTATTCGCTGATGGAAGGATCTGTGGACTCGGCTTTCATGTGTCTGAGAGAAAATGATTTAGTCAGAGGTTCCTCCTCTATAAAGTAACTGACAGATTTCAAAATGTCATGTCACTGTTGGTATAGTTCTTGCAGCCTTTTGAAAAAGTTCATGAAGTCCTCAAAGGTATGAGAGAGTTGGTACAGTTCCTATTTCTCATCCTCCTTTCTCCCATCAATAACCATCCCTGTCTGTTGTAATATTGATTGCTTTCCCCCCCTAAAATAGAACATAGTTACCATATAATTTCTGCACCAGCAATAATGTTTAGAGATGATATTCAAACAAATAGGAGGCATAGCAATATGAGCTTGTATAGTGAGAAATAAGGCATTAAAGCTGAGGAGTTCATTAAAATGTTTCAAAAACATTTCAATAAGTCAATCTCTTTGGTAGCAGAACTAAATATAAACAAAATGTACATTAAATTCAACTTATAACAGCACATCATATGGGGGCTTAAGACATCTAATTCCTTAGGTGGTAAAACATGTGTACATAAAAAGGTACCAGTAAAAACAAAACAAAATTAGTTTAAACACACGCACTTAGATATTCACGGTTTTCATTAATACAAAAGATGAAGCAGAACATCACTCTCCCCTGGTTGTTTCCATAAAGAAGAAATTAACCAGGAAACATGGAGATGTCCATTGCACTCCTTTATTTTGCTTACAATGTGCAAATGTGCCTACTATGTGCTAATAAGCTTTCCATGTTATGGTTTTGTTTTTTATGTGCTGTATGCAAATGTTCTAAATGTGCTTAAATTACCATGTGCTGATGTGCTTACCGTGTTCAATGTGCCTATTAAGTGCTTTCCAAGTGATAAACTCTTTTTCTGAGCTTACAGTATACTACATGTACATACATGTTTTTATTTTATTTTTCCATGTTGTAATATTTTGGTCTCTGTTATTATACTCATGTTTTGTCTTTGTAGCTTATGTTGTATGTTTTGCAAAATGGACGTAAAATATATATTTTTGTATCTTGTACGTGCTCAAGGATTTTATCTGTAGTTTTTGGGACTATATATAGAAAAACTTTACCCCAGTATGAGGAATTGTTTTACACATTTATCATAAAACAAGTTATGTTCAGATTTCAGACAGAAGATACTCTAAAATTGTACAACTCAGAAAAGGTTGAAAAATATTTATAGTTCATTTTTTTCTGCTTAGAAATATTTAATCTCTAAATTACAAATGATAACTGTTTTAACAGGTCTAGTTTCCGAATTGGAAACCAAACCCTGTCTGACCTATAAATGATCATTATATAAGGCCAATTAAAAGTTTAAAACAAATATTGAGTTTATGCTAACCCCACAGATACTGGACACACTAATAGTAATATGATGTGTATAAACTATGATATATTATACACACTATACTTATTGGTGTGTTCGACACCAGTGTGGTTAACCAGACTTATCTCAGATTTGTGTTCTACAATACCCTTAAGTTTTTATATGCACTGTTAAAGTCAGAACTCCTGCTCTATATTAGCGCAGTAAAGATATTTTTCAAATTAACAATAAAATGCCTAGCTAATACATACCTACCCTATTTTTTTCTGATAGTAGAAACACAAGTAATTTGTTTGGCCTAATGTTTCTGTCATTTCATAATATTTAGAACTACTATACTTGTTTAAGTTTCCAAAACATCAAGTAGTATAACAATTGAAACTTCAATGAAAGCCAACATCACAATGAATCTAATAATACAATGTTTATAACATGTTTTTTTTTAACTGAATGAGAAGAAATGTAAGGCCAAATATCCTCACAAACAACGCTTAAGTGAAATCAGTTTGCAACTAAGCAGTTCGAAAATTTTGCAACACGTCTGGAGAAAGACGTTCCTCGTGACGCTGTAATTCACTAGAGTAAAACGTCCGTTTATTATGTTTGTTTTTGCATAATAACTGCTATACATACCGTAGAAGCACCTTCCTTTTTGTCATCGCCGCTGACAACATGCGCCATTCTCTGCGGCTTCGGCCGCATGCTTGGCCACAAGTCACCGAAATCGGGATACATAGCCTTATTTATGAATCAGTAGTAGGTAAACGTTGCAGAAGTGTATGTATATTGTTCATTGTCAATGCTGCTTAAACAACATGCCTAACATTAAGTCAACACTCGCCTGCATTTTCGTCTTTTCCGCTTCGCGTTGCGAATGATGTCTAGGCCTACACAAAACGAAAGTAAAATGTGCGCATGTCTAAATGTAAGGGAGATCACTCGTGTTTTCCCGCAGTATATGTCTGAAATCATTCCGAAGGTGTTGTTGTTTTTGTGTATATTGAAATAAAAGAGTCCTGTTATATGGTAATACTTCAATAAACGAAAAACACAAATCACACCAACAGACATATAAAATGTAGGCCTATCGGAGCATATTTTCGTTTCTGGCTGAGCTGTAATTAGCGAGAAGGCGATATAAAAATGCAATAGCATATCTTATGATGAAAATAGAACAAAATGATAATACTGCGAAGGTAAAAAAAGCCTTCAGGTTAGAATACCAATATGGAACTAGAGAAGGACAGTGGCTAGTTCTAACATGATTCCCGGTCTCATCTGCCCCGGCCGGTTGATCCCATTTTAGTTAGGCAAGCCTGGTGTGAATCACACGGAGGCGATTTTAGAATTAATTGACAGGATCCGTATCCATTAATAGGTTTGTAATATGAACTTTTTATGTTGATCTCCTACATAATTGTAAGTTATACTCCGCCTTATATTTCGTTAAATTATCAAGTTTACGTAACAAGTGCAAGCGAAATCCTAATTGACTGCCATGTTGGAAACTTCCTCAATCTTTCCGATATAGGTCAGACGTCTAAATATGGGTGTCATGACCAAATATGGAAATTGTAGTAAACATGACCGCATCAGTAGTAATACTATATTTGGCCGTGAAGGCCATATAAGGAAACGGATAACATCACGCGTGATCTAACATGGCCGTCGTTTCTTTTTTTAGAGTTTTTAGTAAGGATTTGTTATTTTAACGATGAACGAATATGCAATATTTTGATAACATTATAATCATATGAAGCGTGAATCAGATATATTATTACTGATTAGCACTTTTGATTATCCTCAGTTAGTTGGAACAGGACCGCTTCATAGCTCTGACCACGCAATATATAATTGTAAACAGGGACGTAAATGTCACCAATTTTAGCCAATCACAGGACAATATTTCCGTGTAAAGGGTTAATCCAGCGACAGTTCCAAGAGTAAATACGAAGTTTTAGAAGGATACTTAGTTCTAACTAAGAATAAGATTATATCCAATGACGTTTGAGTGAACTTGAGTCCGTGGTAATGGATTTTATTTGCAGTTTGTTTAGTATTACTAGAAGGTGACGTTATGTCTCGTTTATGAATATCTGAGCTCATTAACTGAAGTATTTTTACCGGAAGTTGCGTGTAGCATGCATGACCTACATTCAAGTAGCAGTTCCCGATTGAGATAAACAGGGTGCATTTTCAATAAGAATACGACGTTGTGATAAGATCATATGTTCTATAAAGAAAAGTAATGATATTTACAAGCCATTCAAGTGCATTTGAGTCCAAAGTTACGCATAATAAAGACAGTAGGTCCGGTATATGATTCAATTTAGTACCAGTGACTACCGCTAGAGGCCGTCTGTGTGAAATCGACATTTATGAATATCTGAGCTCATTAACTAAAGTAATACCAATAGCTGGCGGCTAACGCCTTAGCTAAAAAGAGTGTATACCTTTACAGGTTCTGCCCACGGATTCCAGCGTTTCCATAGTAACCACCAGCCAGACAGATCATCTCCATAATTAGTGAGGGAAGTCTCATCCTGACTGCCAACATCCACGGCAAAGATAGACTGGGCTCCCATTGACTTCATCACATCAGCTGTCAGAACAAAGGTCCACGTAATTGAAAGACAAATCATTGGACAACAAGACAGGCATTGTTGGTGAAAAATGATATCTCACACTCTTAAAATTGTTTAAATCAGATAAACAACTTTTGACTAACTTTAAAATTTATTTGATCTTTACCAGGGTAACATCACAAAATCATCATAAAACTTGTACACTCTTAATTTGTAAAAAAACGTGTGTATTTTTGTGTATTGCGTGTATCATTAATAGGGAATCATTCAAAAGGAGAAGGGATCTATAATTGTTCTACAACTAGAGAAACTTTGAGCGAGCTCACAAAGATATACCCCCGGCTTGCACTTACAGGGTGTATGGAACAGAAATTCAAGTTTCAAGGGCCATAACTCCAGGAAAAATAATAATAATCAATAATAATAATAATAATATACAGCATTTATATAGCGCCCTATATAATTTGTAAAATTACTCTAAGGCGCTTTACAACATATGGATAATAGTAATGGTTATAATTGTGAAAACAAACAACAAAGGCTTGCAATCACTTTCATACATTTAACAAGCAATGTGCACATAATTGAACAAATAAAAGGGTGGTATTTACATGATGTCTTTGCAAAGATTCTAAAATGCAGACGTGAAGAGGTGAGTTTTTATGTCCCTCTTGAACTTGGCCAGGGTATTTGACTTCCTAATAGCAGATGGTAAGCTATTCCACAGCGTAGCCGAAACCCTCCCACAGCACGAGATTTTGGGAAACACAACAAAGATTCTGACTCCGACCGCAGTGATCCTGACGGCTGATACAGGGTAACAAGTTCCTGTAGGTACTGAGGAGCTGTTCTATTCAGTGCCTTGTATGTGTATACCAGAATTTTGTACTGCGACCTATATCATACAGGTAACCAGTGCAACGAATAAAGCGCAGGTGTGAAGTGCTCTCTCTTTCGAGTACGAGTAACTAGCCATACTGCAGTGTTCTGGACCCTCTGCAGACGAAGGTAACAAGTGAATGCACCAAAATCTTGCATGCATCTGCAGTTAGAAACTGCCGAATACAGCCGATGTTCCTGATCTGGTAGTAACAGGATTTGGCAATAGCGTTCACTTGTTTCTCCATGTTCAGAGAACTGTCAAAGTATACCCCTAGGTTTTTAACAGCTGGAACAGTCTCAATAGTTCTGGCACCAACCTTGAGCTGGAGAGCCATCGTTTGCTGACACTTTGGGGAAAAGACGCTTAGTTCCGTCTTTTCTTGATTAAGTTTAAGCATGTTGGTGTTCAAAAATTGTGGAATCACAAATTCCTTTCTTCATTCACATTGACATATCATGTACTTTAACTGTGTCAAGTTACAAAATACTTCAACAAACTGTAAGGAGGAGATGCACTGACAAGGTTTATGTATCAGAATGTTTCAAGGGCCATAACTCCAGGAAAAATCATTGAATCACAAATTCCTTTCTTCATGTACATCTACATTATGATATACTATCACTGTGTCAAGTAACAAGCCACTATAGGTGATTCCCTTATACCTCCCAAAGTTTGTTTGCAGGAGGTTTGCTGGGGGTACAAAAATAAATTAGTGCGTGTATAGTTTTGAATGAATGATTTTGATCATACCAGGCAAGTTATTGACATATCCACCGTCCAATAGAAGATGTCCATCAACAGGGTCACACAGAGGTGGCATGTACCCCGACAGTGACATACTGGCCCGCACATATCGCCAAAGACTTCCTATAAAACAAAGATATACCACAGATAATTCATGTAAAAATAAACACAAGATATTTAAATTCATATAATAACTATGGTAGGGACCTTGTTTATACTATAAAGAAATGTACAAAAAAGCTATGGTAGGGACCTTGTTTATACTATAAAGAGGTGTACAGAAAAGCTATGGTTGGGACCTTGTTTATATTATATAGAGATGTACAGAAAAGCTATGGTAGGGACCTCGTTTATATTATATAGAAATGTACAGAAAAGCTATGGTAGGGACCTTGTTTATATTATATAGAAATGTACAGAAAAGCTATGGTAGGGACCTTGTTTATATTATATAGAGATGTACAGAAAAGCTATGTTAGGGACCTTGTTTATATTATATAGAGATGTACAGAAAAGCTATGTTAGGGACCTTGTTTATATTATATAGAGATGTACAGAAAAGCTATGGTAGGGACCTTGTTTATATTATATAGAGATGTACAGAAAAGCTATGTTAGGGACCTTGTTTATATTATATAGAGATGTACAGAAAAGCTATGGTAGGGACCTTGTTTATATTATATAGAGATGTACAGAAAAGCTATGGTAGGGACCTTGTTTATATTATATAGAGATGTACACAAAAGCTATGGTAGGGACCTTGTTTATATTATATAGAGATGTACACAAAAGCTATGGTAGGGACCTTGTTTATATTATATAGAGATGTACAGAAAAGCTATGGTAGGGACCTTGTTTATATTATATAGAGATGTACACAAAAGCTATGGTAGGGACCTTGTTTATATTATATAGAGATGTACACAAAAGCTATGGTAGGGACCTTGTTTATATTATATAGAGATGTACACAAAAGCTATGGTAGGGACCTTGTTTATATTATATAGAGATGTACAGAAAAGCTATGTTAGGGACCTTATTTATATTATATAGAGATGTACAGAAAAGCTATGGTAGGGACCTTGTTTATATCATATAGAAATGTATAGAAAAGCTATGGTAGGGACCTTGTTTATATTATATAGAGATGTACAGAAAAGCTATGGTAGGGACCTTGTTTATATTATATAGAGATGTACACAAAAGCTATGGTAGGGACCTTGTTTATATCATATAGAAGTGTACAGAAAAGCTATGGTAGGGACCTTGTTTATATTATATAGAGATGTACAGAAAAGCTATGGTAGGGACCTTGTTTATATCATATAGAAATGTATAGAAAAGCTATGGTAGGGACCTTATTTATATTATATAGAAATGTACAGAAAAGCTATGGTGGGGACCTTGAACTATAAAGAACTGATTAGAAATATACCTGTGGTATGGACTTTCATCTTTGACGTTGAGATATCAGTACTGATGCAGAAATAGGGCGTCCACAAGTCTTCCACCTGTCGGTCTGTGAACACCATCTCTATTGATCTGTTAAATGCCCTACCTGTCAAACAAATCAGTCATACACAGAAACACAGCATTGTTATGACAATATTCATGAAATTTGTGCCAGATTTACAATCCATTGATAGCAAAAAAGCTCATCGTGTTATAAAGATAAACTATAGTAATTTTACAAGTCATATTTCATTTATTTTTTTCAAACAATATTTTCAGTTGAGATCCTTTTTCCAGTGTTCATGTTTTTCATAGTCAAATTATTTAACTGTTTTTTCATTCACTACATTCAAGGGAAGAAATTGTTCCATATGTCTATAATTCTTTGTTTAAACAAATGTTTTCTAATATTTGGCCTTGAATACTCAAAATATGACCTTGTTTGTTTGAACTTCTTTAATTGTAAATAAGTGTGTGACTTTACAGTGGTTAATTAACACCTGAACTGCCAGCCTAATTATCTCATCCTAACCTATCTTAACGAGTAATTATAAGTCATGAAAACATTCCTACTCAGAGGTAGAACATGATTACCTGAGAACATGGATGCTATTGGATATGTCAGATCTACAATCTTCTTCCACAATGATGTCATTTCCTGGAGTCAGAAAAAGAAATGGACTAAACTATGAAAAATGAGTGAATTTTACTCAACCAGGTCGCTTCAATAATAGATTTCCGCATTACTTTTAGATTGTGTCATATATATTTCAAATTAAACAACAGAAAATAACTCTTTCAATGGAATATTGCCATTGCAATCTATTAAGCTTTTAATGAAATTTGTACCATTCCTTTAAATATTTATGAAAGGATATGCAAACTTATCTTACATCTGTGTGAGCGTGGACTGGTTGTTAGGCTACTAGGCCAATTTTGAGTAAACTTGTCTAACATTACTTCATTTTCTTCTGTGTGAGCTTAACCACAGCTCAGATAATGAATTCGTCTGACATCAATTCCTTTTATTCTGTGTAGGCTGGGCCACATTGGAGAGTAAACTCACCTTACACCATTCCCTGGTCTTCTGTGTGACCCTGGCTATGTTGACCTCGTCACACCAAACGGCCCCTATAAAGGAACCCATACTGGTGCCACCAACCATATCTATGGGGATGCCTGCCTCCACCATTGCCTTTATCATACCTATGTGGGCCAGTCCTCTGTAAACAGTCACAAGACTTGTACTCAGTTGATTTAAATTGATGGAATTACATAAAGAATTATAATTGGTGAAAGAGGCACATGATTTCCATCGTAGCATTATTAATGTGCTTGGAAACGTCAGCAATAAAGAAATAATTAAAGAGAATCTAAAGTACATTAATTTGTCCATCATCAATAAAACTGATAGAATTAAGATAAAACAAGAGGCCCATGGGCCTTAACGGTCACCTGATATATTTATACAGAGAGTTGATTTTGTTTTTAACATGAACAGAAATATTATTCAAAGTGACAAAAAACAATAAAACCACCTTATTCAATATCTAGCATACAGATTTAAGACTAAAAAGTATTTGAAACTAGCACCTCTGATTCTAAACAAGGAAAATGAAGAAATTTTAGCACACTGACTCC